CACTACTCTTCTCAATTAGACTCTTCTTTCGATGTTAACAGAATGCGCACTTGGAAAACCTACTGCTCTAAATGCCGTTCTTTCAACTTAAGCTGTTGCTCATAATCTAAACTATTATTTTTTATATAGCTATGTAAATAGTGTTCTAGTCCTTGTCTTTAATGTATGTCTACTTATTGTATTGTATCAGGTTGGTCTTTACATGGGACTCATGTCCTGTTGACCATACCTTCAATCATTGTTATAATTTTTCTATGATTGTAAAGTTAATAAATAAATAAGTTTCTGTAGCAATTATATCTAGAAATACTAGAAATACATACATGCAACAACCCCTCGCCTATATTTTCCAAACATTGTTTCAACATGAAGTATTCGTAATTACGCCAACACTGAACGCAGGCTCGCGTTTCTCGCGTCATGTTAGTCATGGCAACACGATAATTGTTTTTTTTTAATTTTTTTGTACAAACCGGGAAAAAATAGATGAAATTTGAACACTTTTAAACACAGAACTATCAATTTCTAAAATACATAAAGTAGGTATAATATTTTGGGTTCTATAAGCTTTATGTTAATGTAAAATTCAAAACGAAACTCTACGTAAAGCGTTTTTAAATGTGAATTGAAATTAACTGCTTTAAGGTTGATGCCGATATTTATATAAAACTTCTCAACTTGAGCTTCAACTTATTACTCGGACTTTGAAATGAAACAAATTTAATTCGTACAGGACGGTAATGAAAATAATTTGCTTTCCCTTTTATCACGAACTTCTACAAAAGTTAATTTAACTAAGAAACTTTCGCAAACAATGCATAGGAAAGACTTTAACATCAAGAACAAGTCTATATTATTAAATACAAAGTCATTCATAAACAATTGAAACAAACTTGCCTTATACTATAGGATTTATCATACAATATCACCTCTTATCAATGTTTACGTTTAAAAATTGCAAAAGAGTTGTACAATTTGTTATGTGAAACGATTTTCCAAGCTTTCTTACATGTATTTTTTATATATTTTTTGCCTTCTTCACTCCTGGCAAACAGCCATATTCTGAGATCAGTGATGACCACCCACCCAACACCGTTGGTGAGCGCCCGCGATAATTGAAGGACTTTAGACTTCGCTAATGTTTTCGTTTCCCCGGGTGTAAATAGCCGGGGGGAATTCGTATCCTCGCACGGCGCTTCGCGCCGTCGGCTCGGGGATAACATATACATATTTTAGCAGTCTTTTAGTGCCAGTACTGTCCGTCTGTATGTGAATATACAATGCCATCAAGCAGCTGAACAATGCTAAATACTGGTCAGTAGGAAATAGAAATAAGAAGCCGATTTTGAATGACATAATTTTATTTATTATATGGACAATGGTGTTTTAGTGGAAACTAAAACACTCGTAGAACTCACATGCCAGTAAAACACTCGTAGAACTCACAAGACCAGATGCGCGTATTTTCGTATTTCACGCTTGCAAGCGACATACGACGTTCGAAAATTTCCCGCCATTTTCATTGTTGTTGTTTTGAAAATACAAAATTAATGGTCTTTGGTTCGCGTATATAAAACGAAATTAACGTTGGAACATATAATCCATATATCCTCACAACCATCTAATATCCTCTATACAATTTGCAAATTGAAACTATAGCATATTTCACATTCAGTCCGGCAGAATCGTGAAATAATTGTTCAGGTTCTGATAAGAACACCAAACTTGGCACAATGATAGTTTGGGACATACTCTCTAAGCTTACAACATTGTTTTCGCGGTGATCGAAAGTAACACTCGCGCAAATAAAATAGCGACCAAAAACGTGCGCAAGTACATACGTGATGGTAGGTTGGACGGAATTCTTGTTTATGGGAATACACTTCAGATCTTGGTTGAATATTCTGTTTTAACTGCTGTACAACATGCCTCTGCAAAATATTGAGACGAATTAATTCATTACAATATCAAAGCTGTTAAAATTTAACATATAGTTAAGGTGGTGAACTTCAAAGTGTTTAAAAGTCAAAAGAACATAGAGGCGCAAAGCTTGTCATTAAGTTGTAGAATGTTCTCAAAGTGTATCAAGTTGGTACCAGCTACGTCGTCACTCACGACTTCTAACTTCTCTCCTCCCCAGAGGTCTGGCATGAAGTTTTCGAATCGGATAAACTCAGTGGCGTAGCAAAGGTCTAAACTTTAGGGATGGTGCAAAAATTTATATGGCATTTCGAGTGCGAGCGCCAAAGGCGCGAGGGGTCTAGGGGAGTCCGTTCTTACTCTAGAATCTTTTGATTCTAGGCGGGTCCGGTTTTGAATTTCTAGATTCATTAAAACGCTATTTCACGTATTTTAGGACGAGGTTTGAAGAAAAGTTACAACCACAAAAAGCAATTTTTAAGTCGCCTAATTTTGTTAGATCGAAAACAAATTTATGTAAAACGTTGCACTGTATACGCAAATACAACAGCAAAATAGCACGATGTCTTCGATTTTGTAATAAAAAGAATGAAGCTCACTTGGCCGCCATATTTGAACTTTGAAGTCGGTCATGACTGCTGCTATGCGCGGCGCGCAAATTCAAGTCCAAATGTGCTTTTAACAACCATACGCGTTTTTTACTGGAGTGAGGATTCTAGATTGGGAAGACTACAACTTTTATTGGTAAACAGAAGAGATGGGTATCATTACTCACACATCTGCCCGGATTTCAGCTTTTCACAAGGGCAGTCCTCCTGCCCATGGGGGGGGGGGGCAGTCCTCCTGCCACTGGGTAAAGCAAGCGTACAAGGTTCGCAATCTCCGGACCCACGCACTCACTTTACTCTTAAGGAAACTTCGTGTAAGTATTTTGTAAATACTTTAAGGTGGCTCTGCCGAGGAGAGAGGCTTGTAACAATCAGCAACCAAGATCTTTCTCTTTCTCGACACGAGAAAATTCCTTCATACAGGTGTTGGGGATTGCCTCCAAGTATCGCCCAAAATAAATCACAACAAAACACAGTATAATATCTATCACAAAATCACAAGTTTCACAGTTTTACAGCCACATGTTTTTAAGTTCTCTCCTGGAAAAAACAACAACCACCGGTATAATCCGGAACTTTCCGAAGTGTTTAAAGTTTGGACTCGCGCGTCCCACGCGTGAACATAAATACTAATTCTAAATTACGACAGTTTCCGACACTCTCCCCCCATATACCTTGCAGCGAGGTATATGTCCCTCAAAGGAGACTGGTCTAACCAAACAGTACTAATAAAGGATAAAGTTCTATAAAAGTTCAGTGTTCAATTTGCACTATACAGTTTTCGTCAACGTTCTACTTCTGCTACTTCTTTAATGCGTTGTTGAGCTGCCACTGCAGCATCTCGTCTTGGTCGGAACGACGCCGCTTCCAGGTTTAAGTTGATAAGTTCCTTTGTTTCTGTACGGTCACAGGATAACTCGAGTGGATACAGGTGGTTCACTGCTCGTTCAAGGTAGGTTTTTCCTGCACGAAGTTTCACCGCACGAACAACACCATCACGTCCTTCGTACAGCTCGTCGACAACACCGAGAGGCCACTTTCCACGGCTTCGTTCATCCGATTGTATAATAACTACGTCACCCTTTTTCACCGTGAACGACGTCTTCTTGTGATTTTGGTTATGTCGCTCTCGTAGACCGCGCAGATATTCCGTTGACCATCTCCGCCACATTGCTTGCTTGCACTTTAACAAATACCTTGCACGCTTACGTAGATCATTTTCTTGTATGTGATGTGCTTCCAGCTCTGGCGCGAATGTAGAACCAATGAACATCATGGAGTTAGGCGTTAGCGTTGGTAGCTGTACATCATCTTCCATGTAGCTGAGTGGTCTTGTATTCAATGCTACTTCGATGTCTACGAGGACCTCCTTCAGCTCGTCCCAACTCAGCGATCCTTTTCCAATTGTTTTATGTAGAGCTCTTTTTACCAATCCGATTAAGCGCTCGAACTGGCCACCCCACCATGGGGCGCGACTCAGGTTGAACTGCCATCTAATTCGATTCTTGCTGAGGAATTCGTTTAACTTTTCATCGTTTTGAGCTGTTCGTAACCAGTTTGCTGCTGAAACAAACGTTTTTGCATTGTCAGAGTAGA